TGGTGGGTGAAAAGATAATTTCCCTAATGGAATAAATATAAAACTGAGTGGTCTGGAGTGACTACCACCCCCCTACCAAATGAACAAAAACCCAGAAACAAAGAATAAGGGCAGTGGCCCCTGGAAGTTTTAGTTTGCAACCCCTGTGTGGAGACAAGGAAACACGGGTTCCTTAGATAGGTAGCTTTAACTAATTTTGGCATTCCTTAGGGAAAAAATTAAAGATCTCTCCATTCTCTCTTTTTCTAGCTGATTTTTTTCCAGCGGGGTGTCTAATATAGACAGTCTTATTTTCATCATTACCCAAACATTTAAAGCAGAAATCTTCATTAAATACAAACTAAAGAACAGGCTGGCTTAGAAATATCAGGGGGAGCATTTTGTACAGTATACCATTGTCTAGCCACTATGTCGTACACCTGAAACTGTGGCAGGTTAGTAAAAAGCTAGGGGAAATTCCCTGACAAGTATTATAAAGGAAACTGAGGCAAAATAATTAAACAAGGCCAAACAATTTGAGTTTACAGTGAGCTAATGAATCACAAGGTTTTCTCTTCCCTAACCAAGGACACTTAGGAACAAATAATTTCCACATTCCAGACCGTCTGGAGGCAGAACAGCCTCTGTCCCATTTTTCTTCAATGATGTTCTTTGAAAATAAAACTAACCAGGAAATAACTTGTGATACCTATATACGCACCTTTTGATGGATCAACATATTGAAGGTCACACCTGGAAAGCTAAGACCTCTTCTGAGACCTTCTCTGGGATTTCCACTGGCCAGAGAAAGATAAAAAGCCTCAAGACAAAGGATCCACGGCATGCTCTTGCTAGAGCACCCCCTACACCTGCATCTCTGCTTTTTTACCCCTAAACTCTATGGGTTCTCATGAGACTTGCAACCAGGGGAGCAGTGGGCAGCTGCAGCTCATCCCAGGCTTACTCCCTGAACTTGTCTCCAAGGCCCCCATTTTCTCTTACTTCCCAGTGAGCTCACCTCATTTACTGTTAACCTATTTCTCAGTGAGCCAAAGCAGCCCACCCAGGCTCTCTTCTGGCTTCTTCTATCCTAAGCCCTTCCTTTGTCTCGCTGTCCTTCGCTTGAATAAACATTCTCTCCAAATCACCAAGACTGGTGCTGCGCAATCCTTCCTACACAAAATCAAGAACACACACATTACCGGTCGGCCCTAGACAGACCCCCTTGGGGCCCAGACCCAACCCAGTCACAAAACCAATACAAAAAATACTGAATGTAAGCCATACCTGAAAAAAAGAAAGAGTAGGATTGGCTACCTAATTTGTGGGAACCATTGCAGAATGAGAATGTGGGGCTGTTTGCTGAAATATCATTAAGGAAGTTTAAGATGGTGTCAGCAGATCATTAACCCAGGATGCAGCCTTCTGGAAGCCCAGGTCCGGGGCAGTTGCGGTTGGTTCTTCCAGGAAGCAATGGCAGTGCGAGTCTGTCCTCTGACGAACTGCCAGGCCCCAACTACTGGCTGTAAAAACCACACCTTCATCTTGATGAGAAATCAAATGACACCTCCCCTCCCCCCGCCACTCAACATGGCAGCATTCCCAACCTAGATGCTGGTACGTGTGGGCACATTCGAGGCTGTGGCTCCGGGTGATTTGGTTTTAAACTTTATTTTTCATGTACAGTTTCAGATTATACAAAACATAGAAAATGTACTATTTTAAAGGCACATTAAGGAGAAAGTATTTAACTACCCTAAAAATCACATTTGTCCACAAACCAAGATTCAGATGTAACCTCTAAGCCTTTCCCTGCGTGTCCTCATCACCACCGCGCCCCCAATATACAAAACTGCCCAACACGCTGTGTTTTAAGTAGCCTTTCAACGATTAGCAAGTTTAGTCATTCCCCACCCAGACAGATTCTAAAAGATGCTACAGCTTCTATCAAAGCTACTATGTTTAGTGTGTTTACATACAGGCTCAAGGGTCCAAGTGTCCTCAGCATTAGTTAACACAGAGCATCCCAGGACCTCGGCCTGTCAAGTAGGGATGCACACAGGCCACCGACCTGTCGCAGAGGATGGAGGATTGGGGGGGAGGTCTCCAATTCTCCTGTGTTCAGGTAGAAATATTTACATTCACTCAGAGCTACACATACATCAATTTTCCAAACTCACATAACAGAGACCCAAAGTAATTTTAATGTAACAAGACAAGTTAGTCTGTCTCCATTCGTAGCCCCTCCATGAAAGAATTACAGTACTGTATAAAAATGTCCTAAAATGCGCAAACTACAGTTCCTTCAAATACAGTTGTTACCAGTAATATATTTGGTCCTAAATTTTGCTTCCTGGATGACTCAGTTAGTTTACTTTGTTGTTGAAGTTCTTGAGTAATGGATCATAAGCACCGAGTGAGGGCTGATTCTGCCTACAGAGAAGAAATGTGGGTATTTTCTCCCTGACGCATCAGCTCTTTCCCACCTCCACAATGCAGGGCAGGCAGCTCTCATGAGTCACAAAACCTTGCCATCGCAGTGGATGTGGATGTAAGTGCTGTACAGCCAGGAAAATCCAGGGGTCATTTCAGATTCTCGTGTACCCCACAAGTTCTGGAGAAGGAAAAACTTGGGGATGAGGCTTACCAGAGTTCTGGTTCTGAGGGCTGCTTGCTTGTTTCCATGTGGCCACCAGGAAGCTAGAGAAAAGCCACCTGGCTGGAAAGCTGGGGGCACGTTAGACCCACCTTCCTCCAGAGGCTCCTATAGCATCCTCCAAACCCCAAGAATGTGATTGCTCTGACCCACCCCGTGCCTGAGTTTTCCAGGAGGTGCACTCTGTCCTGATCCTGGTCTGATGTCAGCTTGCCCTGTGTTGGTGGTCTCTGTGGGGAGGGGTTGTCCTGCCTCAGGGAGGATGTCTGGATTTGCTCACCAGTGTTTTCAAAGCCTCACACCCTGCCTGGAACATAGCAGGCATGAAGTACTCTGTTGAAAATGAACAATGAATGAATGAATGAGTAGATGGACAGAAAAACCCAAATCCTCTACTGAAAAGGAGTCCACTATGGCCCCTAGACTACTCAACACAGACCTGGGCTGATGGCAGATGGCTGCCACTCAACAGGACAAATGCAGAAGCATTTAAGCAGCACCTGTGCTGAGACGTGGCCAACAGGTCGCACTGGCCCAGGCATACCTCCCCAGAAGTGTGCTCAGAGCACCAGAGGAAAAGGACAGAGACGCACAAAGAGCTCATTCAACAGGGCACGCCCCACAGTCAGGCACATTGCCACGCACCTCACGGTGCTTTTACACCTAAGGACAAACTCCCCAAAGCCGCATTTGTCAGTAGAGTCTCAGAATTGTCTGGAACACCCACCCACCTAGACCCTGACAAGGCAGATTCCCCCGAGTGGCACTTGGGCTCACTCACGTCTGAGAACCACAGCAGACTGGGCTCCTGCCACTGCTTCACTGGCTATCAGGACCCTGGGATGCTCCACAGAACTAAACGTTCTCTTGATAGAATAGACAATGCTGCCCAATAAGTGCCAGCTGCATAGGCTGATCGAGCAATGTTTAGGGTGATCTCCATGCCTCCCAGGGCATTTGAAGATAGGCAGGCACAAAGCAGGTTCCCTCCCACCCACTGGCCTCGCTTTTCAATCCTTGAGTACGGTCTTTGAAGCCTTCATCACAGTTTTTATAGTTTTTCTTAATTGGTTTTTTAATTCATCTTCTCCTTAGACAATGTGCCCCAGGAGAAATTATCACCAAGCCTTATGCTGATGAACGAATGAATGAATGCATAAATGAATGGATGGTGGATGGGTCCTCTGAGGCTCCAGAAATGGAGTTAGTAGAGGCCATCCAGCTTAGAAGGCAGGTCAGGAAGAGAAGGGAGAGGCCTTCTGACTTAGGGTTTTAAGGAGGCTGTGTCTCCCAGGATGGCTGGCTATTGGGGTGTGGGGCCTGGGCCTGGAGTTTCGATGGTCCAGATGAAAGCAGCTGAGTTAGGGACAGGGAAGAATCCAGAGCTGATGGAGGCCAGAGCTTTGGTCTGCAGTGGGGTCTAGAGTAAGGAGACCAGATGTCCCGCTTTTGGCCAAAAGCGGGACGTCTAATCACCTTACTCTAGAGCCACCTCCCAACTTGATATGACGAGAGCTTTAATGTTTGAGAGGCAGTTCTGCTCCCCGGGTTCTGGGACTGTGGCCCTCAGCTTTAAGGCACATAGGCATCACGGAGAAGCTTGTTAGTAAGGCAGGCTCCTGGGCCCCGCCCCAGAAGACTGGGATTTTGTAGGTCTGGGGGGTGGGTACCCAATAGTGTGCATTTTACAAGGTGTCCTAGGGACCACAAGAGGAAAGTCTTTGCCTCAGGGTGAGCCCACATTTGAACACCCCTCCCAAGGCAAGCAGGGGACGCCGTCTGCAAATTTCGGTGGCACCTTTTGGACCTAGCCCGTTATAGGCAGTTAGGACTGTGGTCTGGATACAGGCGGAACACCAGGGTCCACACCTGTTTTTCACATGGAACTTGGCTAAACACCTGAGGAGGTTTCATCCCTCACCTGGCCGCCGCTCACCCCACCTTCCACCACTGACACCCAGAGATTCGGGAAAGGGAAGCTGAGGTGAGGAGGACATGGTGGCCCAGACCTGGCTTTCTCGGCCTCTTGTCCTCACATCCTGTCCCCGTGGTAAGGAAACACGGTGCTGAGCATTTTAGGATTTGAGCATTGCTGGATTTTTGGCTTTGTCTCATTGGGACTTTCCCATGGCGGGAGTTTTGAATTCCAGCCTTCATAGTCTGTTCTCTGATCTCAAGAATGCAAAAACTCACTCTCTCTCTCTCTCTCTCTCTCTCTGGCTTTTAAAGGAAACAATATGTTTGCTAGAAAAACCACAAAACAAAACAAAAAACAACAACAAAAATCACACAAAACGGATTATATACAAAATGGTTATCTGGATGTAGATTCTGTACTGCGTGAGAGCAACGGAGCGCCGGCGGTCTATTTGCGCTTCCTCAGGATCAGGTACATGAGGCCGCTGATGAAGGTGAAGGCGAAGGCCACCCAGGCCAGGATGAAGGAGTAGCCGTACGAGCCTTCTGCGGTCTGAAGATAGAACTCGCTGTTTCCTCGGTGAATGTCTTGGCGTCGGTCTGTGTAGATGGAAGCTGCAATCATGACGCACAGGCCTGGGAGAAGAAAAGTGAAGATACCAATAAATCACTGACCGCAGGGTGTCCCGGGCCCCCGAGGGGACTATTAAGGGCCAATTTAAGCTTTTATTATTATGGGTGTTTTAGTCTATTGGAAAGATGATAACGAATATTTTAGTTGACTTATCTGCCTCCCCTTGTCACCATTTTGCTGCCCATTCTTGCTAGCTGAACCCAATTTTTATTTTTTTAAAATATGTGTTTATTGATTTCAGAGAGGAAGGTAGAGGGAGAGATAGAAACATCAATGATGAGAGAGAAGCATTGATCAGCTGCCTCCTGCACGCCCCCCACTGGGGATCAAGCACACAACCTGGACAGGTGCCTTGACTGGGAATCGAATCCTGACCTCCAGACTCATGGGTCGACGCTCAACCACTGAGCCATGCTGGCTGGGCTGAACCCAATTTTATTTGTACAACCATGTGCCGAGCCCAGAAAATAAGACATAATGTATTTAAGCCAGGGATCAGCTGGACAGTAGATGGTTCAGGCTTTGCAGGCTCTGCACAATATCTGTCCCCCACTACTCAGCTCTGTACTTTCCCTTGCGGACTACTTTAGCCTGTTCGGTCAGGATGGAATGGCTGGAGCTGTGGCAGCCTTTTGGGGGCCATGAGAGGGTTGCCACTGACTCTCTGAAGATGAAGGCACAGAAGGATGAGAGGTGTGGGGGTTGGGGACACTGCTGCTGAGCTGCCAGATCAACTCTGGCACCTTCCACCTCCTATTTGTTCTATTAAAAGAGCAAAGGTCTTTGTGGCTGAAGTCATTGTTAATTGGAATTTTGTCTTACTTGCAGCCAAAGGCAACTTGATTGAACGACATGAATGCTAGGATGAGGTTAAGCACCCTGGTTTTCCTTGCGGGGCCTGTGGCCTCTCCTGGCCAGGTAGGACTGTCCATCAGCCCTTCTCTAACTGGGGGTTGAGTGGATGACAATCTCTGCCAATTCCTGAGGTTTGAATCTAGGGGAAAGTCACACTGTCTTCTGATTCACACGGATTCTGCCAGCATCTCGCTGAAGGGACTGCCCATCAGTTCCTGCTGCCTGAAGCCTCTATCCAAAACCTGGTGTCCAGCTTTTTCTTTGAATCATGTGAGCTGCCCCAGCACCCAGCTCTCGCGAACGTTAGAGCATCTGTTGCTCACACCTGAACATCACTGACTGATATGGTGTCCAAACCGTGCAGGCATGGGGAAGAAGAGGGAGGGGCAGGTCCTCGGACCAGAAAATGGTCAAAGGAGTAGTTGTGGACGGGAAAGGAGTGTGTGTAACTTTTGTATGAAGGTAACCCAGTTTTGACTAAGTGGCCTTAAGAGACAAATAGAAAGCCCTGACCCGTTTGGCTCAGTGGATAGAGCGTCAGCCTGTGTACTCAAGGGTCCTTGGTTCGACTTTGGTCAGGGGCATATGCCTTGGTTGTGGGCATGTTCCCCAGTGGGGTGTGTGCAGGAGGCAGCTGTTTGGTATTTCTCTCTCATCAACGTTTCTAACTCTCCCTCTCCCTTCCTCTCTATAGAAACATCAATAAAATATATATATTTTAAAAAGAGACAAATGGAGACAATAACAGAAAGGAAACTTGAATGGGAAACTCCTCAACTCCGTCTCTGCATGCTAAGTGTCGAGACTCAATGGCCTTTAATGGTGTGAGTAGTGGGGTGTCCGTGCCTCTTGCTGGGAGACACAGGAAAGTAAAGGAAGAGGCAGAGCAGACACCCCCTTACGGGTGCCCTTGGGTAAGTCACATTACTTCTCTCGGCCTCACTGGGTCTCGGTCTGCGTCACTGCTCCCAAGTGCTGGGCTCATGGATGAGAACACACATCCCCACCTTCTAACCAACGGGTCACGATGGGCCTTTGGGGGCTGCACTTTAGACAGGTCCCCAAAGGGATCCTGGTGGACTGGGGGTTCGGGGACCAAGTGACCCTCTAGGGTTTTTTATGATCGAAATACTTTAATCTCTGCCTGCACCCTGGCTTGTCAGGTAAGGTGCCCTCAGAGAAGGACGCTGTGTGTGACCAGCCATCCTCTATGCTCAGGACTGAGGGGTTTCCTGGGATGCAGGACACAGTTGTAAAATTGAGTCAGCCCGGCTGGAGTGGCTCAGTTGATTGAGTATTGTCCTTGTGCACGGAAAGGTTGCCGGTTCAATTCCTGGTCAGGGTATATGCCTGGGTTGTGGGTTTGATTTCCAGTCAGAGAGCATGTGGAAGGCAATTGGTCAATGTTTCTCTTTCACATTGATATTCCTCTCTCCCTCTCTCTCTTTCTCTTTCTCTCTCTCTCTCTCTCTTTCTCTCCCTCCCTCCCTCCCTCCCTCCCTCCATCTCCCGTTCCCTCTCCTTCTTTCTCTCCCTCTTTCTCTCCCTCTCCCTCTCCCTCTCTTCCGAAGCATGTTCTCGGGTGAGAACAGTCGCAGGCACACAGATCCCCCTGGTGTGTGGTAACGTGCCTCGGGGCTATGCTGAGGGCATGGCAGGCCTGGACTTCACTCTGGGCTGCAGAGAACGAAGGCTGGGAGACAGACGGCTGGCTGGAAGGAGATAGAAGTTAGCACCAAGCAGGAGGCGGTCTCCGAAGTACAGAGTTCTCATCCTCCTCAAGCCCGTATTGCCTCCCGAGTGGAAAGCACCCTAGAAGGAGGGGCTTCCACTTCTGTCATCAGAAAGCTTTAACTCTCTGAGGAACAATAACAAGCCATCCCGTGGTGGCACAGGCTTCTGCACCCGATTTCAGCATCGCTAAACTCACAATAGGGCAAAGTGCTCTGAGACACCTTTTTTCGCTAAGTCCCTCCAGGATTGAGGCCCTGACCTGTTCAGTTCTGTATCTCCAGCAGCCCCCAGGGGCCCAGAGCAGGCACATCTAACACCAACCAGCCAAAATGACGGCAGAAAAGCCTGTTGATGGCTTCCCACCAGCTTGGGGGAAAGACCGCCCAAATCCTAGCAGGCTTACACCTGTGAGTCTGGTGTAGATCACACCAGGCCTCCCACACAACGTGCCTCTCCCCCACCCCCGGGTCTCTACACTGCAGCCCCACTGGCCAGCTAAGTCTCTCCTATCACAGGGCTTTGGTCACGCTGTTCCTTCTGCCTGACACACTGTTTCTTCCCCTCGGTACCACAGAGCACATCCTGCAGCAACTCCTCCTCACACTACAGATCCGGCTCAGGAAGGACGCCTTCCCTGACCCCGTAACTAAATCCAAACTCCAAAATGTGAAACGTCCCAGGGAGGCACCGGGGCTCAGCTGCCAACTCCACCTTCCCAAGTCCTCGCCTGCCAGGGTCCTGGCAGGGAGGGGAGGTATTCCAGGAAGCCTCTCGTTTTACTTACACGACATGAGCTGGATGATGGAGGTTAAGACAAACCTCTCTCCCTGCTTGAGGCGGAAGAGCTGGAGCAGGAAGATGAAGAAGGCGATGCAGCAGAGAATGGTAGACAGGATCATGCTGGCCTGGACCGCCTGCATCGTGGAGTAATCTGTGAAAGAGGACAAGACTGTGGGACTGAGGACTGCAGGCGCCCCGGGTCCCCGGGCACAAGGACAGGGCCACCTGCCGAGTGGGAGAACGGGACTAGAGTGCAGGGAGCACAGGGTGAGCACAGGGCGGCCAAAAAGTCTTCTCTCCCCGCTCCCTCTGGTGTCCACTTGTGCACTTGACCCGAGATCCCGTGTCCTTATCTAGAAAACGGAGAACCACCACCTGCTAGGCATTCTTCCTGGCCTGGGTGGCTCTCAGATGGGGGATTATAATATTTCAAAGTACAAGCCACCAGGTTCCCAGCTGGCAGATTCTGATTCCAGAGCTCTGAGGGGACAGGTCAGTTTGCGTGTCTGTTCTTTAGTTCAGTGGTCGGCAAACTCATTAGCCAACAGAGCCAAACAGCAACAGTACAACGATTGAAATTTCTTTGGAGAGCCCACATTTTTTAAACCTAAACTTCTTCTAATGCCACTTCTTCGAAATAGATTTGCCCAGGCTGTGGTATTTTGTGGAAGAGCCACACTCCAGGGCCAAAGAGCCGCATGTGGCTCACGAGCCACCGTTTGCGGACCTTGGATTTAACGAGACCTCTGGAGGCATTCCCGGGGACGTGGGACTGAGTGACCTTCTGAAAGTACATTTGAGAGAGTGAACCTTGTGCTCGCTCCTTAGGAAAAGGAAAGCTACGTTTGCGTGAGGTGTGAGCAATCGGGGTTTGGCACGGGGAGCTTGAGCAAAGACAGGAGCACGGGAAGGACACAGCTGGAGACCTGTGCCCAAGGTGTAAAGGGGTCACCTGCATGAGCCTGTTTCCTCACCTGTGAAATGGGGACAATAACAGCTCCCACCTCAGCAGGCTGGGAGAGTGGGGTGAACTCACCCGTGGGAGGATTTTAGGGGGTGCTCTCCCCGCGAAGGGAGTGCTCTGTAAGGGCTGATGTTATCACCAGGACGCAGGTAAGATGGTTGAGGGGAGCTGCAGAGGAAAATGTAAGGAAAACCTTCCTTTTTTCTTTTTGCAGTCTTGCCTATAAAGTGACTAGAGGGAGGCATACTGTTAAGTTCTTAGTGGAATGTGAAGCAATGGCCCTTGGTGTGATCTGGTGGTGCGTGAAGATCTGCCCAGAGAGCATGGAGCCCCTCCCCCACTGCTTCCAGTGAGGAAGAACCCTCGTCCCCTCCCCCAACCTCACATGATCGCATCCCATGGAGTCCAAGAACAGGCAGAGCGAACAACAGTGGCAGAAGTGGTTGCCCTCAGGGCAGGGGGTGGTGGGAACTGAGCTAAGAGGGCCTGAGGGAGCCCTCTGGGGGGACGGAATGTTCTCCTTCCTGCCTGGCTGGCGTTGATAAGGGTGCATACATAATTGTCAAAGCTCTTTGAACTGAGGCCTTAAGAAGCGGACATCTTCTCGCTTGTAAATGATAGCTCTGCTCCGTTATAAAAACATCCGGGAGGCTACACCGAGATGAGAGATGACCGTCATCAGAACCTCTGGTGCTGTTGGGATCTGGCCTGGAGCGGGTGCCACCTTCAATGGGATCCTCTCTTTCTGCACTCTGCCACGTGGGGACACGAGGGCCAGGCTGTCTGCACACCAGCACGACTGACTGTTCTCACCAGACACCAGATCTGCCCCGTGAGACACACATGTCTGTTGTCCATGACACCACCCAGGCTATGGTTACACACTGCCCGGACGTATGAAGACCATGGCCTTAGGAGGAGAGGATGCGTGTTTAGAACAGGGTTTCTCAACGTTGGGGGTGGGGGGATGGGGGTGCAGGATGTAGCACTGGAGGCCGACACTCCCCCACTGAGAGGGATGCTCACTCTGCTCTGATTTACACGTGTCTACGGACCTCAGGGAGCTCTCCACGTGGCCCGTTAGCACGTGTATAACACCACGTGATAACACCGCTGATATCTGGGTTTGGTGGTGGCTTTGATTTTTGTTTTTGTTTTTTTCTCTCCTTTTTAAATTAAGGTATTATATGTGTATATATCTTACATTGCCCTCCCCACTCCCATACATGCCCCCCCCCCCACTGTTTTGCGTCTGTTGGTTATGCTTACATACATGCACGCAAGTCCTTCGTTTGATTGCTTATCTCCCCCACCTCTCCCTAACCATCCGGCTGTAATTTGACATTCTGTTTGGTGCTTTACTGCCTCTGTATTTATCTTTTTTGTTCATCAGTTTATAATGTTCTTTATTATCCACAAATGAGTGATATCATGTGGTATTTTTCTTTCATTGACTGGCTTATTTCACTTAGCATAATGCTCTCCAGTTCCATCTATGCTGCTGCAAATGGTAATAATTCCTTCTTTTTTATAGCAGCATAGTATTCCATTGTGTAGATGTACCATAGTTTTCTGATTCAGTCATCTGCTGATGATGAGTACCTCGGCTATTTCCAAATCTTAGCTATTGTAAATTGTGCTGCTGTGAACATAGAGGTGCATATATCCTTTCTGATTGGTGTTTCTAGTTTCTTAGGATATATTCCTAAGAGTGGGATTACTAGGTCAAATGGGAGTTCCATTTTTAGTTTTTTGAGAAAACTCCATACTGTTCTCCACAGTGGCTGCACCAGTCTGCATTCCCACAGTGGCTTTGTTTTTAACAAGGAAAGAACCAGAAACAGTCTCAGAACCTTCAAGAGGCAGATGCATCTGGTGAGGATTTAATAACATTTGATTTTCAATGTAGCAAGTCAGCATTGATAGAGGGAAGTAAAGTCCCTTTTAAAATAAATGGATACAAGGAAACCATGAGCAGTGTTTAAGTCTGGCCGGCAGGCTTTTCTCTGAATACTCTGGGCTTGGTGGCCATATAGTCAGTCCCTTGTTACATTTTCACCTTTATTTATTTATTTTTTTTGTTTTGTCTTAACAACTCTTTAAAAGTGAAAAAAACCGTTCTTAGCTCATTGGACTGAATTTGGCTGGTAGTCTGCCAATCCCTGTTATTTGAAGGAAAAGTAAGGGAATTAAATAATTCCACGTAGAGGATACGGAACGCAAATAATAGAGGCTTGGAAACACTGCCATGGAGCACACAGTCAGCTCGCCCAGCTGACCACGCACACTGACAGCCGGGGCTGCAGAGCACGGGGGAGAATGGCTGTTCCCAGGGCCTGGCGTTAGCATTGCAGATAAATGCGCTGAGGGGGAGGGTGTGGCAGGGACCACATGATGCATTTCAGAGCATGGCTACAGTGTCCATCACTTCAAGGCTGGAATCCTGGCTCCATATTTAGTCCTCAATGTGTAACCTTGGGTTTCCGCTCCGTGCCTCAGTTTCCTATCTTAAAACAGGGCCAATGGTCGCTGACGGATAGGGCTATGAAACTGCATAGATAAAATACGTAGCCCTGTGCCTCGCAGGAGACCTTCAGCAAACGATGCCTTCTATTGCTACTTCTGCTGCTTGTGCTATGAATGTTGATGTTGTTCCTGACGGGATGATGAGACTTTAGGAGTCAGTGAGCAGGGTCCCTTGCTCCCTACATAGGATTGCCAGATTTGGTAAACACACACACACAAAGAAACAAGATGCCCATTAAATATGAAGGTCAGATAGCAACACTTTTAATTTTTTTAGTTTAAGTATGTCCCATGTTACTATCTGGGGACATACTTAAATTATCGATGGTTATCTGAGATACCAAAGTTAATGGGGCATCCAGTATTTTGTCAGGCACTAGGACTCAAAGTGCCTCTTGCATCAGTTCTAGAACAGATCACAGAGCCATCCTCTCCAGAGGGCAGGAGAGTAGTAGCCAGCATGGGTCTGAGTGGGATGTCCCTGCATTTGCAAAGCCCTTTGGTACTTCCGCTCGTGCCCAGAGGCAGGCAGGGAAGGCACACTGCTTCTACCTCCATTGCAGCTGAGGACACTCTGAGCACTCAGATGACCTGTCCCAAGGCAAGGTCACACAGCTCACAAAGGAGCCAGCTATCGAGATGATGGGAAGTGACACGGGTGTCAAATTCAGTCTCTGAGCCTATGTTGAGGGGAGGCTTGGATAAATGAGAAAGGAGGTAGGAGTCTAGATAAGAGCTGAAGCTGAGAAAGCGTGAGGAAAGGAAGCTCTGCTTGGCCAAGACACAGAGATGGGTGAGCTTAAGGTAGGTGGGGTTGGTGCGCCCTCCAGCCTCTAGCTTCTCCACGCCCACCCCCACCCCGCCTTCAGCTACCATTGTTCCTGCTGAAAACCCCAGCCAGACCCCTCCCATTATGCTGGGTGGCAGAGAGGGCGAGGAGTCAGAGAGCGGGGAAGCAGCCTCTTTTTCATCAGTGCTTCCCCATCGGCTTCAACTCACGGGAAAAGCTGTCGTCGATGTCTGTACAATTGGTGAAGTTCTCTGTGGTGCAGATTTTCCAGACATCTGCAAAAAATCCGTCTCCTACCCACCAGGCCTGTAACACAAAATGGAAACACAGGGAGAGGCTGGTGGTTAATGACGAAAACACGGACTCCTAGTCATGTTAATGAGGAAAACACGGACTCCTGTTGGGTGGGAGGCACACGGTGAACGGGCGTTTGGGACCGGTGCTTCTCAGTCTGCGGTGTGCGTGCGGGTCACCTGGGGATCTGGTTGACCTGCAGATTCTGATTGGAGAGGCTGGCGGTGGGGCCGGAGATCAGGCTCCGGTGATGTCCACACCGCTGGTCTGAGTGAAGGACAGAATGGTCCAGGCCCTCCCGAGGTGGAGGAGAGGGGACCAGGCTCGGTTGGTGGGATAAACAGACAGTGGTACATTCCACCAGGGCCACAGGGGTGAAGACAGAAGGGAGTGAGAACATGATGAAACTGGTCGGGGAGAGGGGGGAGCCTGTCATGGATGAAATGATCAGGCGAGACTCTCCTGTCTTCAGTCCAAAGGCTTTCATTTCTCTCCTGCTTCTGCTGTCTCCACCCCCCAGATCACAGGAATCTCCCCCACCCGTCCACCCAGGCTCAGACATCCACTACGCTCCCACTGCATGCCCTGCTACAGTGCCAAGCACAATTCCTGACCCATGAGCAGCCCGTGACTCACTGCCTGGCAAGAATGCCCATCTGTGAGCGCCACAGCCATGTGCATGCGCAGGAGGATTCCACAGGACTGAGTGGCGCTGTGGCCAATGGCTTTTCTGCCCCTCGTGTCTGTCTATCCTGCTCACTTAGTCTGCAACCATTTCAGGACCCCGGGGAACCAGAGGCAAGACACAGAGAAAGGAGATTCTGAAAGAACATTCAACACCACTTATTTCACCAAGCGTGGGCGCTTTGGGTAACGGCAAGTGAAATACTTGAACTCCTGGCATCACTGTGATCCCTGCCCTACCCACTCACGGCTGTTCTTCAGGAACCTGCAAGAAGCCAAACCTGATCACTGCATTGATCTGCCCTCACAGGATCCGAGGCCAGATCTGTAATGGTTCCAATGCCAGGTCTGCCACTTACTGCAGTGTAAACTCCAGCAGGGGCCTTCACTGCCCGGAGATCCAGTTCCCTCATAACACAGTGCCAGGAGAGGCCCTATCTTGTAAACTTGAGGTGAGGGTCAACTGAGATGGTGCACATGAAAGGGACTAGCCCAGGACCTGGCCAGCGTGAGCACATGCTAAGCGACAGGAGGTGTGAGGGTCTATGTCACTACTGTTACGACGATTAGTCAACAGAAGTCTATAGGCAGGCAGAGCTGACGGCCACTTGTAAGGTGCGCTTTTAGCTGTGTGAGCAGTGTTTCTGACTCTAAATGTCTCTGCAGTTTGAAATGATCAGGATGGAAGCCAGGCCTTTGGATCGAGGTGCAGGTAAAATCTTCATCTGCTCCTGGTGGGGATATTAATCTATGCCAATAGATTATTTACCAAATGCATTCCTGCCATATGGCTGAGAGCTGGACACTAAAGGAAAAGAGTTCAGTTTTTCACGGGAGCACAGGCAGAGTCACAGAATCCCAAGCCTGGGCTCTGCTGGGGACGGCAAGGCTGGAGGGAGACGGGAAAAGGTGGGCGCCAGCAACAAGGGCTTCTTGTCAGTCAGGAGATGTCAGAAGCGAGAGGGGCAGAGATCCCCCGGGATGGGTCACCTGGGAGCTAGGGTGCCGAGGATGATTTTGCCCCCCATTAGATATCTGGCAACGTCCGAAGACATTCCTGGTTGTCACAAATAGGGGTGGGAGTGCTGCTGGCATCTAGTGGGTAGAGACCAGGGATGTGGCTAACCCTCCTACAGTGCACAGACGGCCCCCAAAATGACTGGTCAACCTAGCACCACAGTGGAGTCATTGACCTCAGGAGCGTTGAATTGGAGCCGAGTCCCCAAGAGGCTTCCTACAACCAAAGCATCACGCCAGGCTCTGTGGGGGAATCAGAGATGAAAGGACCAAGGTCCCGGCCCATCTAAATGTGGATGCTTCAGACCCCAACACTTAGGCCAGAGCCTCAGGCCCAGGCTCAGGAGGTGGGCATGCCTCGGTGGGCCGGACAACCCCAGTTACAGTCATCCGGGGGAGTTCTTACTCTGCTGTTGACAGCAAGGTCCAGGGGCTGTGGGACGGTCGTAAGGAAAAGGAACTTACATTGTCGATGGTGGCGATGAAGAGCAAGGCCGCGGAGGTGATGTGGAAGATGATGATGAAAGCCAGGAGCACCAGCATTTTCACAGGGCGCGGGCGGGCGAGGGGCGCGTGGAAAGCCCGGAGAGAGCAGGTGGTGTGCTAAAGAGGGTGTGAGAAATTGGAATTTGTCAACGACAAAATTAAAATGAAAAAACAGGCAAGCTTTATTGGGGCTTAAGGAAATAAAAAGCAGCCCAGCTGGGGGTAGCTCAGCAGTTGAGCGTCGACCCAGGAACCTAGAGGTCACCGGTTTGATTCCTGGTCAGGGCATATGCCCAGGATGCAGGCTTGATCCCCAGTGGGGAGGGGGGGGGGTGCAGGAGGCAGCCAATCAATGATTCCCTCTCATCATTAATGTTTCTATCTCTCTCTCTACCTTCCTCTCTGAAATCAATAAAAATATATTTAAAATAAAGATAGAGACTTTTCTATTAAAAAAGAAAAGAAAAAGCAGCTCTTCCTGTCTTTCCTTGCTTGCATATTTTATCAGACAAAGTCTAGAGCTATCTTTGCAAAGCTGTTCTTTGTTGCATCCAGACACTGAATATTCCTTGTGGAGGATTTGGGGTGAGGACCAATTAGAATCCCTTCTTCAGAAAAGCATCCCACTTCTTCAGGGGCCTGCCAGGGGCTCTGAGGCCAGCAGGAGGGGCTGTGTGTGGGCTAAAATGCTGTCTGAATCTGCCCCTTTCCCACCAGCAATGCTCTGGGGATATCACAGCACCAGAGGAAGCTCACCCTCTGGATTGAGTATTCATTGTCACAGTCCCTGCTGTGTAACAAAGCAAAGGTAGTCATGATACACAAATATTTCCTAGTGATCTGACCACTTATAAAATTAACCCCCACTCAAACGCTTAATACCTGTACTCACTTGAACAACATCCAACCACTAAATGCAAATACAACATGTGGCAGACAGCTGCCATTCATTTTTCCTCCCTCTGGGCACTGGAAGACTGAATTTCCCAGACTCCCTTGCAGTTAGGTTGGACCTTGTGACTGATTCTGGCCAATGGGCTGTAAGCAACATGAGTGGGTGTCATTTCCGGTCTGAAACATTTCCGCAGTCAGAAGCAGGTGTGAGTTCTCCATGCTCCCCAACTCTGATGAAATAGCTGGGATGGTGCAGCCACAACACACCAAAAGAGAATCATTAAAAGAGCCTTTTCCTGATACCAACTCTCCCACTTAGAGTTGCATTGTGCAAAAAGCTCCACCCTTTCTCTGTCTGCTCTCCCCTCGGAGCGTGCTCACTCTCACTCTCACTCCCTGAGTCCCTGACCAACGCTGGTCTTTGAGACCCAGGACCTTTAACCATGAGCCAGGAGCTGTGAGGCTGCAGGGCTCAGCCTGGCTGGTCCCAGCTGCGACTCTGCATCATCATTTGGAAGAACCCAGTGAACCAGCTCAGAGATTCTTCCAATTCTTTTAAGAAGGACAAACTCCCCTTTGTGTAGGCCTGCGTCACTCTTAGCTGCCATCATATGCTGCCTCAAAGGAAAAAACAAAAAAAGGCTCATGCACCACAGATATTACTTTAATGCCAGCTGGAACGCAAAATGCCAACCTCACCAGGCAGGGCCACAAACTTCAGGATGATAATGGCTTTACACATTGTCCAGCTCAGATGACACAAATGCCTATGGACACATAAGTAAGACTTACTGGAAAAGGAAAAAAAAAAAAAGGCTTTAACTCAGTCTTCCCCAAAGTGTGGAATTCATGTTACAAGGCATGATTTTGGATGGTGCACTGATATGGCATCAAATAACAATACACCATGTAGGGAGAAATTGTCTGAGTCCAGCAACAAGAAAAGATCCAGTTTGGGGCTAGTCTGTCTCTAACATGTGCCATTTTTTAAAAAACAACAACAATAAGCAGAACTTTGGGCAAGCCATAGTGTGTAGCGAGAATTTAACAATGTTGCTTTGATATTGTAATGTTTATTTTAAGGTTCTCTCTTTTTAATTTTTAAAAAATGTATTGATTGATTTTAAAGAAAGAGGACAGGAGGGAGGGAGGGAAGAAGGAAGGGAGAGAGAGAATGAGAGAGAGATTGAAACTGATGTATTGTTCCACTTATTTATGCATTCATTCTGTGATTCTTGTATGTGCCCTGACCAGAGAACAAATCCATAAACTTGGTGTATCTGGCATACTTTAACCAACTCAGCTACCAGGCCAGAGCTAAGATTCTATCTTTTTATAGAAATATCATATATACTAGAGATATAAAGTCTCATTAAAACAACTTTATTGAAATTTTAAAAGTGAATCATCTAGAAAATATATTATGTAACATAAAAGAACCGGTGGTCTTCAGTGTTAGCAAAAATCCTGGGGTGGTTCTCAGAGCCTAATGTCTGAGATGCGCTGCTTTAACATTTGAAGTGATTTCAATTGGAATCCCAGACATCAGGAATAAGCTCCTGCACAGAAAAGGGCAAGTATTTACAAGGGGTCAAGTCAGGTCTTGAGTCCGGTGTAAGGCGAAGGCCTTGGGGAATACAAGGGTGGCAAGAGATTGGTTTGAATTGTTTGACATCCGGGAAAACGGGAAACAGAGAAGTACTCTCCCATGACGACATCTGGAATTCAGATCTAGTGACCTCACCAGAGCTTTGGAGGAAATCATTCATAAGTAGAGGAGATCCCTTGAATCTCTAAAAGGGATTCTATATCTTTAAATCAAAATAAGTCTCCCTATTCCTTTCCAACAGGCAACCACTCTCCCCAGGTTCCTAAGACCCCTTCCAGAGATAGCATCTGTTAGATGGGAACACTTACTCCCCACTCTTCACGCTTCTGGCCTCACGCCCCACCCCTCACTCACTCCTTTGCTTCTGATTGGAGGAGACACCTGGTGGAGCTCAGGCATCCAGGGGCCACTGTGTATGGCGATGCTCTTCCCTCCTCTCTTCACTAGGTGTGTCTGAGCTTCCAGAGTCCCAATGTTCCTTGACTGGAGGGGCTCTAGGGCAAGTGGAGGACAGGGGTGTGGAGTTGAGAGCTACAGCAAGCTCATTTGGCCCCAGTCTGACTTAAGTCAACCCAGCCTCTCTCACCTGCGGATATCCCCCAGAGATCATTCTTTTCCATATGAATCCACCTCCCTTTGGATAGACTGCCTGGTGCTCTGTTGTAGGCTCTGCCACAATGTACTCCCCTCGCCCCCTATCCAGGCCCATTTCATTCGTTTCCAGGCTTTTGCTACTCCAAGCTATACCACCAGTGAACATTTCTGAAGTTACTTCTTTGCTTGGACAGATTCCTAAACGTGGAGATGCTGGATCAAAGGATATGAACATTTAGTTTATTGCATTTTATTTTTTATTAATTAAAATTTGATTTACGGCAAAGCATACTAGGAACTGTTGGTGCTGTGTCATCCTTGATCTTCAGAGGGTCTTCAGGGAGTGGAAAGTATTGGACCCACTCTTATGCATGGCCTGAGTGAGTGGACAAGCCTTGGTTTCCTATCTTTGACTTATTAACACCCCTATTTTCCCTGGAAGTAGAATTCTGCCACTACAGTCCAGCTTCTGCATCCCCACGGCTCTTCCTAGCGGTGCTCAATCCTTCCCACAACAAACATTATGTTTTACTCCTGGGCAGGGACTTGGTGGGCCCTCTTGGGAGATACTCAAGGACAGACAGCTCACTGGGCTGGGTATTGGAAGGCTGGCCCACCAAACCCAGGGTGGTATCACATTTACGCTTCCCATGCACAGAAACTTAATTTCCCTTAAAAAAAATCATACTCACCCCTTGTACCTCCCCCTGCCCCCTTGTCCTTGCAGGACACAGTGCTCTGCTGGAACAGTTCCCAGAGTGCCCTCTTCCTGCCACCACATTGTCTAGGTCTCAACTCAAGCAACCCCTCCTGATCACCCATGCCCCCCAGCAATGTCTATCCCCCATCATTTTCTATCCCATCCCAGCATCACCTATACCATCCTCTGCTTTATTTTCTTCAGAAAACTCTTCAGTCTCAAAGAATCTTACTTGTTCACTTGTCTATTATCTGTCTCTCCTTCTGTCCCTTGCAGTATGAGCCCAGCGCACAGAAGCTGTCATTTTCCATCTGGGGAAATGTAGAGTTGCAAAGGCCCTTGGAAAACTCAACGCTCTGATTGCCCAGAAACAGGAACTGGGGGGGCCATGGCTGGCTCCAGTCCCACAGCGAAACAAGGGCAAGGCCAGGACTGGAGGGTCTCCTGGCCCCTCTCCAGTTTCCCTTTCAACCTCCATGGGAGACCCCTAGAGGATGCACCATTTCCCAAAAGCCTCTGTCACGCTCAAGCACAGCATTCGCCAGGCAGTTCAAACCAGGCTGTTTTTCTTCTGGTGCCAAGCAGGGTGTGGTAAGAGGACACCTGGATTTGGGCGTTTACCTGTCCAGAGGGGGGAGGCCGCACCAGATGAGCTTCCCCAGTTCCTGTCTAGAAATCAGAGTCTTACGATTGGCAGAACTTCTCTTAAAAAAAAAAAAATGCTTTGATCTACACAGTACATGGGCTAATTAAGAATAAAAAGGATAATGGAACCAAAAGGCACATGATGAAAAACCACAGCCTTCTGCCCCACCCCAGTCCTGATCCCGGGAAACACTTAACCTTTTCTGCTGTCTTTCTTCCACAGTTCCATATTTCCCAACAACACTCATGCGCTTCTATTTCCAGATTCATCTACTGTAAACATTACTGACTTCCTGCCTAGAGGAGAGTTTCCTCACCCGTCATCCCAATACAGTCTTGTCATTCTCACATCAGTGTCATTTGCAGTATGACCACATTGGCTGTTCGCTGCAGAGCCAAATAGTGTACTAGAATTGCACTCTATTTACAAAACTCTTCTTTTCTCTAGCTAGTCCCCTGTTCTCTCTCTCTCTCTCTCTCTCTCTCTCTCTCTCTCTCTCTCTGCGGCTCCATGATCCTCATTTCTTGAGTGCTTTCCATATTTTTTATCACCCCAAGTTCCCTATGGCAGAATCCCAGATGCTGGGCAAATGCACGGTTTCACTTGCAAGCCCG